GAGAGAGAGAGAGAGAGAGAGAGAGAGAGAGAGAGAGAGAGAGAGAGAGAGAGAGAGAGAGAGAGAGAGAGAGAGAGAGATGAACTTAGTATGTATCCGCTGCAATGATCTGTTTGTGTCAGCCGTTTTTTACTTCTTTGTTTTCATTCGTTTATTTTATTAGCTCATTTGGTAGTGATCCACGTGTCAATTTCGCTAATAATTGTCCACGTGTCCGCCTCTCCTATGGCTTATGGTTTGTGCTTTTCTAATAATGCAGAACAAGACTGGAAGACGTGAAGTTCTTGCAGAGGCAGCGGGAAAGGACAAGAGGGATAGGAGCTGATGTTTTGGGTGCTGGGCAAGTTGGCGCGGAAGGAAAAAAGGAGGATGGAGCAGATGAAGGTGACATCCAAGAGCATGCGCTTCAAGACACATTTGCACAGGAAACAGCGGTCACGGTCGAAGACCCCAACATGTGCGTATTACTTATCGCTCTGCCAGTCAGTCGTCAATCCGCTCTAAGTTCACCCACTATAAACTGCGTACTGACCTCGACCCCTTCCAATCCAGTCCGCCAGACCCGTTCTCTCTCTCTCTCTCTCTCTCTCTCTCTCTCTCTCTCTCTCTCTCTCTGGCTTTCGTCCTGTCATGCATTGTTTGCCGATTCACTCTCTCAATTACTCGCGCACTCAGTCTCTCTCTCTCTCTCTCTCTGTGGTTGTCGTCCTGTGATATATTGTTTGCCGATTCACTCTCTCAATTACTCACTCTCTCTCTCTCTCTCTCTCTCTCTCTCTGTCTCTGTGGCTTTCGCTTTCAAATTCATCCTTCGACGTATTGTTTGTCTATTGAATCTCGCAGTTGCTCAGTCCCCCATCCTCTCCTTTTCTCTTTATTGCATGTGTGTGTGTGTGTGTGTGTGTGTGTGTGTGTGTGTGTGTGTGTCACACTGGTGTAAGGTCAGCCGAGATGGCGCTGTGCTCACTAGAAGTGTGGAGGTACTATGTCCAGTAGTACTCGCAGAAGAATTGGAAAGATTGATTAGTACTAATCAATCAATCAGTATATAGGTAGGAACTGATTGATTGATTAGGTTGCGATTCATTGACCAGGAAATGGCAAAGAGACGGGGGAGGGACATTATGATTGATGAGGACGCGCAGGAGAAGGAAGCGAAGAAGATTGAAGATGACCTGTATGCCATGCCAGAGCACCTGAAGGTGAGGGGAGGCGCCCCCCCCCTCTCTCTCTCTCTCTCTCTCTCTCTCTCTCTCTCTCTCTCTCTCTCTCTCTCTCGCTCCCTCTCTCTCTCTCTCTCTCTCTCTCTCTCTCTTCTTCCCATGCCAGTGAACATCCTTCGTTGTCTATCGAGAAAAGAAGAACATCCTTCGCGGCGGTTCATGCAATATGTTAATTTATTTATTTGTTTTTAATGGCATGTGTTCGTTTTTCTTTCTTTATTCTTTTCTTTGCCTTGTTTTTAATGCAAAATGTAAGACTTCTTTCCCGTGAATCGTGCTGGACTTGTTGTTACGTTATACTGTATATGCATTCTTGTGCTTTGTGTTTGTGACGATCATATATGTATGTATACATATCCACGTAGAAATGTATGGATCTTGTTATTAGCAGGAATGTTGCCAAAGGGAATGCACACACTGTGATTGCCCGCTATATCTGCATGTGTTTGTGTACCGTGAAGCAAAAAAAAAGGCTTTTGGCTATTCTCGAAGAAAACTCAAAGTTTTGGCTATTCTCGAAAGATTGGCTCTTGGCTTGCAGTATCTTGCAAACAGGATTGCGTCCTTTCTTTCTTCGCCTACCTAGTCTCTCTTTCCTTTTTTTTTT